TTCCCCAGGCATCCTCATGGCTAATTCCCTCATGTCCTTCAAATCTTTCCTCAAAGGCCACTTCTCAGTGAGACCCACGCCGACCACCTGAGTTACAGCAGTCATCTTCCCTCTCCTCTCAGACCGACACTCTGGATCACCTTACCCATAGCACTTCCCTCCTTCCAACATAAACACTTCCCTTATTTACTATGCTCATCGCCCTGGTGGTGCACTGGTCAAGAGCTATGGTGAACTATGGCTGTGAACCAAAAGGTCAGCAGTTCAAATCCACCAGCCACTCCTTGGAACCCCTATGGGGCAGCTCTATTCTGTCCCGCATGGTCACTGTGAGTCGGAATTGACGGCAATGGATATAGTCTCTAGTCTCTCTCCAGTAGAAAGGCTGCCAATTGTTGTCTGGTTTTAGTTCCCTGATGTTGCCCAGATGCAAATATATCTGGCCCTCAGCAACTATCAGTAGAATGAATGATCAATGCAGTGTAGCCCACCTCCCTATTCTAGAGACAGTGTCTTTACTGATGTAGCCTCAGTCCAAATGCTGTTCTGTGGCAGCTGCAGCACGTCCACTCACACTAACATTAATGTCAACTCTACTTTTCCTGTACGTAGCTCTCCACTCCCTTTCTCCATCCCCTCCCTACTGCCCACCTACAGCACACAATTTCATTTCCCTCTGCAGACAAGAATGATCCTAGGGGTTACGGGCCCTATTTTACAAACAATGGTGAACTTAAATTAGACTCTAACTTATGAATCCACAAGGTTGGATTGGGTCAGCACTAGGATTATGGAGCTAAGGGCAGGGAGAGAGGTAGGCGAGCAGAGGATGGAAACATAACAGGAACTTATCTAAAACAAGAAACTGTCACATCCCTCTCCCTCATTCCAGAATCATGCTTCTTAAAAATATTGGGAGCCCGTTCCTGCTGTGCCCACCGGGCAGCGCGGAGCTGAGCCCGAGCCCTGCACGGCCCCGGCCCGCCGCCCCAGCCCGTCCCCGCGATGCTGCTGCTGGTGGCCGCCTTCCTCGTAGCCTTCGTGCTGCTGCTCTACGTGGTGTCCCCGCTTATCAGCCCCAAGCCCCTCGCGCTGCCCGGAGTGCATGTGGTGGTTACAGGAGGCTCCAGTGGCATCGGAAAGTGTATTGCTATTGAGTGCTATAGACAAGGGGCGTTTATCACTCTGGTGGCACGAAATGAGGACAAGCTGCTGCAGGCCAAGAAAGAAACTGAAAAGCAGTCTGTTGATGGTAAACAGGTGGTGCTTTGTATCAGTCGATGTATCTCAAGACTACAACCAAGTAGAGAACGTCATAAAACAAGCCCAGGAAATACTGGGTCCAGTGGACATGCTTGTAAACTGTGCAGGAATGTCACTTTCAGGAAAATTGGAAGAGCTGGAAGTTAGTACTTTTGAAGGACTAATGAGCATCAACTACCTGGGCAGCGTGTACCCCAGCCGCACAGTGATCACCACCATGAAGGAGCACCACGCGGGCAGGAGCGTCTCTGTGTCCTCCCAGGCGAGACAGCTGGGTTTATTCGGCTTCACGGCCTACTCTTCGTCCAAGTTCGCCTTAAGGGGATTAGCTGAAGCTTTGCAGATGGAGATGAAATTGTATAACATCTATGTTGCAGCGGCCTACCTACCAGACACAGACACCCCCGGGCTCACAGAAGAAAACAAAACAAAGCCTTTGGAGACTCAATCTATTTCAGAGACCATATCTGTCTGCAAACCAGAGCAGGTTGCCAAACAAATCGTTAAAGATGCCATACAAGGCAATTTCACAGTTCCGTGGGCTCAGATGGGTACGTGCTCTCGTCCCTGACCTGTGGAATGGCTCCAGTAACTTCTGTCACTGAAGGGCTCCAGCAGGTGGTGACCATGGGTCTTTTCCGCAGGATCCCTTTGTTTTACCTTGGAAGCTTCAATAGCATAGTCTGTCGCTGCATGATGCAAAGAGCAAAATCTGACGTTGCAGACAAAGCTGCCTGATTCTTATCCCTCGGAAAAAGGACTGTTTCTCAGTAATGTGGACAGCTTGCTGCTAAGTGAGGCTCACTTTTCCTGCAGCTCAGAGCAAGAGAAGTTACAACAGGGATGGAGACATCCTGGCCCTGTCTCTGCGGGAACCGGAAACGTAGATCCAGGGGAGAGGACACAGGTCAGTGTGAGGAGGGCGTCCTGGTGGGCAACGGTGGGGGAGTCCCACCACATCCTCACATTATGATGATAGGAACGCAGGTACATTCAAAAACCAGTTGCAGCAACGGAAGCCTTGAATCACAAAGTGGGTGTGAACAATCGTGTATCACTTCAGTCCCACACAACTCAGCGGTCTCACACTACAGAAAACAGTAAGTATAAACAAATTCACGTCAGTCACTCTAAGTGTTGACACTCTGAACATCCTACCAAATGATCAAAATGTCCAGATGAAAAGTATCCCCATAACCCAGTCATGTTCCCTCTGCCCCAACCCCTGCCCATGTCAGGCCATCCAGGGTTTCACCTTTAGGCTGTGAGAGACACATCAGAGCCCTGGGCACTGTCGCTGCCTGGAGAAGAACAAAAACATTACCTGGTCAGAGCTCACAGGAGGAGATGAGACTAAAGAAGGAAATATGAGGTGGGGGGGCTCTCCCACGGGGTTCCATCTATACTATCCCAAGGGTCTCAGGATCAGCCCACATCCCTCACTTACTTGCAGCCTGAGTGTAGCTTCTTCCCTTTTCACCTGGGGGAAGAAAACATCCTGTGAGAGAGCAGGGCGGAGCCAGGACCAGGAGGTCCTAGAAGAATCCACTAGTCATGGACCCCCCAGCAAGTTTCCAGAACTCTGACTGCAGACCCACAGAAGGACTAGGAAACAAAAGCAAAGGAGATATGTGGGGTTGAACCAACCACTCTCCTAGAGATCTGTCCTGAGCAGGGACATTCCCTCTGATCTGCAACTGTGGGAATCAGGTCCCCAAAACAAAAACCATCTAATGTGAAAAACTTACCTTCACCTACACACGTGATTTACATGTCAGCACAAGGCCCCAGGCTGGGTAAGCGCATGTGTGTGTATGACACCTCCCAATAAAGAGGCAGAAGATGTGCAAACTCCTACTTGGGGATCGAAACCCTCCAGTTGGATAAGAAAACTCAGACCCTACTCCCATCTCTACCTGAGCTCTTCTTCCTCAAGATCACAACTGCAGCCACATAGCTCCAACAACCAGCAGTCCAAAGACAACCAGGCCAGCAACAATTCCCATGATGGACTGAGGAGGTGGCTCTGGGAAGAGAAGGGAAGGCGAAGGGTCCTGAACGACAGTTCTCAGCCCCAACCCTGCTGGAAGTCTCCAGAAAGGCTCATGCTTTCCAAGAAAAGTCTCCGCCCCCGTCCCCTTTTACCCCATTTCAGGGTGCGAGGCTCAGTCAGCCCCTCGTGCTGCACACGACATGCGTATCTTTGCTCCTCTCCGGAGGGCACCACGATGGCTGCCCACTTCTGGAAGGTCCCGTCCCCCGCAGGCCTGGTCTCCACAAGCTCCACGTCCTGGGTCTGGTCCTCCTCGTCCCGCTGCCAGGTCAGGGTGATATCCGCTGGGTAGAAGCCCAGAGCCCAGCACCTCAGTGTGGCCTCACGGTCAGAGATGGGGTGGTGGGTCACATCTGTCTTTGGGGGGTCTGAGGAGAAAAGTAAGAAAATTCAGAAACTCTGCATTTTGTCCCATGGACCACGGAAGCAGGGCTCATGTGACCATGCTAACATTGGACAGAACATTTGGGTGAAGAGAGGGAGTGTCAAACCCAGACACTACTCTGAACTCAGGGGTCTGGAATATTCTCTTCCTTAGAAAGTTCTAGAATCTAGGTGAGACTGCCTGGTCGAGTAGGATCCAGGTCTGAGGAGAGCAGGGGCTTCTGGCCCTGACCTGGGTGGTGACCCAAAAACTCAGAAAAGGTGGAGTCAGACCACCAAAGAGGTTGGTTGGGTGTGGAGCAGAGAACAAGGGCAGAGAACAAGTCCCTGGCGGTTACCAAGACCACTGCCAGGGTCAAAGGATCTGCTGATCAGCTCTTTCAGGAATCCTCTCCCCCACTGTCCCTAGAGAGACTGGATCCCTTAACTGTCTCTGACAGAAACGCATGTTCTCTGGGTGAGTCACTCTCTAGTGCAGATTCTCCGAATAGGGGCCGACTCCTCCCTCTCCCCGACCCTTGGGATAGTGGGAAGGGGTATTCAGGTGTCTGTCCCATTTCCCTTCTCTCCCTATGAGAGGCCAGCTAGGGGAACAGCCTCGGCCAAGGGGAGACATGAGAGTCACCCTACAGCCCTTCGCACCTGCGCGCTGCAGCATCTCCTTCCCGTTCTCCAGGTACCTAAGGAGCCACTCCACACACGTGCCCTCCAAGTAGGCCTTCATATTCTCGGCCTCCCGGGCCTCCTCCCACTTGCGCTCGGTGATCTGAGCAGCCGTGTCCGCCGCCGTCCAGGTGTGCATGTCCTCGTTCAGGGCGATGTAGTCGGCGCCATCATAGGCCCACTGATCGTACCCGCGGAGGACGCGCCCATCGGGCCCCACTTCACAGCCAAACATCTCCTGGAGGGTGTGAGACCCTGGCCCCGCCCCCGCGGTCAGCGCGTCCCCGCGCTCAGCCCCGCCCCCCCCCCGACCGGCCGGGACTGGGCAGAGCCCGTTTGGGTCTAAACTGAAAACGAAACCGGAGCGAACCCCGGCGGCTCTTCCCGGGTCCAGGGGCTGGGCAGGTCCCGCGGCCTCGGGGGGAAGTTCGGACCCGGAGACTCGGGGCGACCCGTCCGTGGGGACGAGGGGACCCTGACCTCCGACCCGGGCCAGCGTCACTCACCGGCGTCGCTCTGGTTGTAGTAGCCGAGCGCGGTCCGCAGGTTCCGTCGGAAAGTCTGTGCGGCGCCCTGGACGTTCCGTGTGCTCAGGTCCCAATACTCCGGCCCCTCCCGCTCGATCCACGGCGCCCGCGGCTCCATCCTCGGATTCGCGGCGTCGCTGTCGAACCGCACGAACTGCGTGTCGTCCACGTAGCCGACAGCGATGAAGCGGGGCTCCCCGCGGCCGGGCCGGGACACGGCGGTGTAGAAATACCTCAGGGAGTGGGAGCCTGCGGGCGGGGAGCGGCTGAGACCACCGACCCCGCTTCCCGCGGGGCGCCCGGGTCCGGGGTCGATGGGGGAGGATGGAGGAGGGGGGCTCGTGGCCGGAGAAGGGGCGGCGGGAGGAGCAGAGCCGGGACGTCTCGGGGGGGGAGGGAAGGGGGCGGGGGAGGGTGGTCGAACGGGCGGAGGGGAGAGTTGTCTGAGCGGGGGCAGCAGGGACGCGGCTTCCCCGAGGGTCCTGCGTCCCCCGCGACGGTCCCCTCGCTCCTCCCTCCGCAGAGGCCGTTTCCCTCCCAACCCTGCACTCACCTGCCCGGGTCTGGGTCAGGGCCAGGGCCCCCGAGAGCAGCAGCAGGAGGATCTGGGACGCCATGACCCTGAACACTGAATTCTGGCGACACTGAGTTCTTGCAGGTTCGTGCGGACCTTACAGCCAGGAACCGAGGAGACACTGATTGGCTACTGCAGAAACCAGACACTCAATGGGAGTAAGAACTGGCGTCTCGTCATGTGCGTCCGGGCAAAAAGAAGTGACACAGGTTGTGAGAGCGAGAAAGCGAAACTCCCGGGAGATGGGGAATCCCCAGCGCTGGGCTTTCTGACTGCGGACACCGCCCTCCGGGCCTGAGAGCCAAGCCCGGGTATTAGGACTTTGTCCTGATCCCTCTCCTCCTATACCGACCACTCTGTCACACTGGCTCCCTGAGTCCTACCCTAGGCTGTCTGAGGAAACCGGGGAGAGAACCCCAGGCTGGGGCCAGGCCTTTTCCTCCTCTTCCCTTCTTGGAATGCCTTTCGCTGAACTGGACTCCCAACTCCCACCCGTTTCTTCTCCCCATTGGACTCCTCTAGAAGAAAATTCACCCGCAGAGAACTTCATGCCAGAGAGTGAGCTCACCTTAGCAATGGGGTGGAAGGACAAGGGTTTCCTCTTTAAACCCAGAAGTGCTTGTGTCTGAAGACACCACATAGATAGTCCCATAGAGACGAGTTTCTTTTTTATTAACGGCAGTGAGTAGCTCAATTTTGATAACCCCAAACCATCAGGAATCTAATCTGTAAGAATAGTAATTTTGTCCATTTTTGTATGAATGTGTCTGAAAGGCTCTGCAGTCAGGCTCCGGAAGTTGCAAAGTTTCACTTTCCCAAACAATGTATCTCTGCCTCCTGGGTTAGTGTATATCAAAATTGTCTTCCTTTCATAGCCCTGAGTTTGTCTGAGTCCCACACCTATCTTCAGTACAAAGAAGCCCATGAAAACGTAGTTTGTTACTGTATGTTTTAACCAGAAGAGTGTAGGAACCTTAACCTCAAAGTTCCAAGTGTTCAGTCCAGTCAAAATGCTTTCACCAGTGCACACGCATTGACTGTGTGTATGAATTCTTAATATCTAAAGGATATAACGGAAAGGTTGGCAGTTCGAGCCCACCCAGGGGCACTGGGGAAGAAAAGGCCTGTTGATCTGTTTCCCTTAAGATTTCAGCCAAGAAAACCCTATGGAGCAGTTCTACTCTATAACACAAGGGGTTTGGCATTAGCACAAGACGACAACAAGGATGTCTGTTTTTCATTGGGTCACTTGGTATTGATATTTTCTCTAACCTGGTTAACATGAGGAGGCAATTCATTTTTAGGTAATCCCACAGAGTGTATTAAATATCAAATGCAAACAATACCCAGCTAGATAATTACATATATATATTTATTAAAAATCTATAAAACTACATACTTGAAATTTCCACTGCTTATAATTCTTTACTTCTGCTTCTTTCCTAGCATCCTGCTTCACCAGCCTTTCTCTCTGTCTCTCTCCTCCCTCAGGCCCTCTTCTCACCTTGGTCTCCACCACCCTCTCACTCTTGAACTGCAGCACTAGCGCCACCCGTCCCTGCCCCACACAGACTAGTCCCCCTATAGTGGTCAGCCATCCTGCTAAGGTAGTTCAAATTGTGCCGTTAATTCACTTAAAAGGCTCTAGTGGCTCCCGTGTCATTCATGTAAAAACTCTACAATGCAAGGTCCATGAACACAGCAGGTTTGGGCTGTTTTGTGCAGAGTATGTAGAGCGTGCCTGTACATAGTAGGCATTAAAGTAATTTTTGGATGAATGGATGAATGACAAATACGATTGTAGAAAATTTTACTTGCATCACATAAAAATCACAAAATGGAAAATACAAAAACAGAAATTAGGAAAGATTTGATTTTATGCAGCTAGTGTGCATGACAGTTGATAACTTCATTCAGTGGAGAAAATGCCATGTGCTTATCCATGGCGGAACTGAGCCTGTGTGTTAGTTTTCTACTGCTGCGTAACAAATTGCCACAAACTTAGTGGCATAAAACAGCAGCCATTTTTTGTTCACAGTTCTGTATGTCAGCTGTCCAGGCGTGGTGTGGATGGATTCTCTGATCAGGGTTTCACAAACTTGTGCTCTCATCTGGAACTCAGGATTCTCCTCCAAGCTTCTACAGAGGTATTTGCAGAATTCTGTTTCTTGCAGGTGTAGTCCTGACATCCTCGTTTCCTTACTAGATGTCAGGGAGGAGGTCCTCCCAACTCTTGTTGGCCACCATCATTCCTTGCCATGTTGCCCCTCCGTCTTCAAGCCCATAGTGTAGACCCTCCCTCACAGTGAGCCCCTATCACCCTTTGAATCTCTTTGCTCAGGAAGAGCCCAGTCCTTTTAAGGGCTCACCTATTCGATAATCTTTCTGTTTTAAGGTCAACTGATTTGGACCTTTCTTACATCTGCAAAATCTCTTCACAGCAGCAGGTCCATTGGTGTTTGATTGAATAACTAGGGGAAGATGAATAACCAGAAGATCAATTCATATCATGGGGGCCATCTTGGAATCCGCTCAGCATGGCCTGGTGTTTCCTTTTGTGTTTTATTTGGTTACAATTGGAAATAGAAGTTCAAGTAAATAGATTGTTGTGATTGGTAATAAAATACAATCTGTCGACTTAGCCTTGAAATTATTCTTAAATTTGAAAATCAAGTAATGATACGTTTAATATCTCATAGCTAATTTAGAGCAAATCAAAATTAACATGCAATAATTCCTTATTCTCTTTGGACACAGTATTAGTTATCTGCTTTTGCCTAACAAATTCCCCAAAACTTAGCAACTAAAGGCAATAAACATTTTTCTTCCAGTTTCCAAGGGTCGGTAATCAGGGAAGTTTACCTGAGTGTTTGTGGTTCAGCACCTCTCAAGAAGTTATAGCCGAGACGTCGGCCAGGGCTGCATCATCTGAAGGCTTGGCTGGGGCTGCGGCATCCGCATCTGATACGGCTCACTCGTGGCTGTTGAGAGAGGCCTCAGTTCCTCAATGGCTGGTCCCAGGAGGTGTATGATACAGCAGCTGGCTTCCGCCAGAGCAAGTGATCTGAGAGAGACCAAGATGGAAATCACAATCTGTTTTGTCTCCTAGACTCGGAGATAAAACTCTATTCCTAAGACCAGTCTACCCTTTAAGAGGAGAGAATTAAGCTCCACTTTTGATGGGAAGAGGATCAAAGAATTATATGTTAAAACCAAAATTAAAATTAAGTATCATTTCAGGATTTTGTAAATTAAATGCTGCTTTTTATCTAATTATTGTTCCTTACTGCTTCACGTTTAAAAAAAAGTAATGATTAAAAGTTTGAGACAGACGAGAGAGACACAGATATTTCATTCTTCTTGAAAATGCCTTTATTAATAATATTTTCTTCATTATTTTACAACAATGTTGAAAATGTAGAGTAGCTAGAGTAAATGGCTTGGGTGCCATAACAATAATGCTTTTAAGATAATAACTATCTTTGTTTTTTTCTTGAACTTTTAAAATTAGATTGTTAAGAATGCAAAAAATATTAGCTAATAAGTGACAATTTTCGCATTCAAGTATCATCTTCAAAAATATTTGCCTAATGAGATTGATTTTCAGCTAGAAAAATGTGAAGTTCATACCTCAGTGTGTGCACCTACCTTAGTATCACAGTGACACTTCGGATGTGATGTGGTTGGCAAAAAGGTGAACTCCAATCTGGGAACGAAATGTTTTCAAACACCTGACTATTGATCAGGCATTCTATAATAAATCTAACGTCTTTCACCGTGATTTTCAATGTGATTTACTAGAAGTGATTTAGACACTGGAGTGATTCTAAAAAGCAATCTTATTATGTGCTTTTAGAATTTTTTAAAGCAGTTTTATGCATTTGCCATTTGTACTTGCTAGGCTATCATTGGTTATTTATTATTTTTTCCGGTTTAATTTATATTGATCAACAATGTGCTTTTCTCATTCAGTAAGTGTACTTAATACAGTTGTATGTGAGCTTAAGTGTAAGGAACACAACAAATCCTTCATAAGATAGAATTAACCCCGTACGTCAAACTGAACACTGTACACCAGAAAATCAGTAGAGACACCGGTGAGTAGAAGTTCAAGTGACCTATTTCTGTTGTTAGTTGCCAGTGAGCGGGCCCCCGACTCACAGTAACCCCATGCACAACGGAACAAATCACTACTTGGTCCTGCCCCACCCCCATGATCAGTTGCAAATCAAATAATGTTCTGATCCATAGGGTTTTCTCTGGCTGATTTTCAAAAGTAGATTGCCAGGCCTTTCTCCCTAGTCTCTCTTAGTCTGTAGGCTCCACTGAAACCTGTCCATCGTGGGTGACCCTGCTGCTATTTGAAATACTGGTGGCATAGCTTCCAGCATACTTTTCACAATTCCCCTGTCCTCTCTCTGACATGGCTCATAACAATTGACTGTGGCTTTGTTCCAATGTGAGTAGGTCCTTGCAATGAACATTGGTATTTTATTTTCTCTTTAAAAAAAAAACAGTAATGGTTCATAAGTTTCACTTTGAAAAGTTCCAGTTTAAGGAATTATGATACAATAAATACCTG